ACTATCTTTTCTTTAGTCATTATCTATGTCAATTTCCATTTCATCGTTTCCAGATCCACTACTGGACTCTTCCAAATGGTTGCAATGGCATTTTAGCCACCAGGAACATAACGTATATCAAGATTTGAGTGTGTAGGGGAATCCCTTCTGTTGGTTCATTAAAGAGGGCAACCCTGGGATTTTTAACAATCTTTATCATAACTTACTGCTGCTGAGTTCTCAGGCATTCCCAGAGGAGATCGCTTTCCACGACTGTCTGTTTATGAAGCGTTGTAGATCACTTCTCCTTTTGAGGAGTGAAGCGATCTACAAACGCTTCAAACTGTGGAGAATGCGTCCTGTTACTGTAACCTCACCAGACATAATGAGATTACAATAATAGAAAATCAGTGAAACACAGGGATGTCAGTTTATTAAGCAGCGCTGAATTATCGCTGCTGAGTTCATTGGCATTCTCAGAGGAGACCGCTCTTATCAGTGCCTCACACTGCATAATTAAAGTCCTCCAACACAAATTATATACACTATATTGCCAAAAGTAGTGGGACACCTGCTTTTACACGCACATGAACTTTAATGGAATTCCAGTCTTAGTCCGTAGGGTTCAATATTGAGTTGGCCCACCCTTTGCAGCTATAACAGCTTCAACTCTTCTGGGAAGGCTCTCCACAAGGTTACAAGGTTTAGAAGTGTGTCTATGGGAATGTTTGACCATTCTTCCAGAAGTGCATTTGTGAGGTCAGGCATTGATGTTGGACGACACAGTCTATGCTCTGATTGATCCCAAAGGTGTTCTATCAGGTTGAACTCAGGACTCTGTGCAGGCCAGTCAAATTCTTCCACCCCCAAACTCGCTCATCCATGTCTTTATGGACTATGCTTTGTGCACTGGTGTACAGTCATGTTGGAACAGGAAGGGGCCATCCACAAACTGTTCCCACAAAGTTGGGAGCATGAAATTGTCCAAAACATTTGGGAATGTTGATGCTTTAAGAGTTCCCTTCACTGGAACTAAGGTGCCAAGCCCAACACCTGAAAAACAACTCACACCATAATCCCCCCTCCACCAAACTTTACACTTGGTACAATGCAGTCAGGCAAGTATCGTTCTCCTGGCGACACACTCTAGAGTCCAGTGGCAGTGTGCTTTACACCACTGCATAGAACTCTTTGCATTGCACTTAGTGATATAAGGCTTGGATGCAGCTGCTCAGCCATGGAAACCCATTCCATGGAGCTCTCTATGCACAGTTGTTGTACTAATCTGAAGGCCACACCAAGTTTGGAGGTCTTTAGCTATTGACTCTGCAGACAGTCGGCAACTTCTAATCACTGTACGCTTCGCATTGCACTGACCCCGCTCTGTCATTGTACGTGGCCTACCACTTTGTGGCTGAGTTGCTGTTATTCCCAGTTACTTCCACTTTGTTATAACACCATTAACAGTTGGCCGTGGAATATTTAGTAGGAAGGAAATTTTGCGGATGGACTTATTGCACAGGTGGCAACCTGTCATGTTACCACTCTTGAATTCTTGAGCTCCTGAGAGTGACCAAATACTTTTATATATAGTTTGTGTATATATATATAAAATATATATATATATATTGTGTTCTCTACCCGTTTTGCTTACTTGATCTACCTGTTTTGTAAAAGGCAGGGGGGGCTTTTAGTCTTGGGGGTTGATTGAGGAAGAAGGAAGCCAATAATCTTCCTCCATCCTCCTCAGTTGTCCAAGGATTCTCTCTTCTCTGTGAGGTCAGGTTCAGAGACCAGTAGCTATAGCAGCAGACCAACCAACAGGATAGGTCACCCTGGGAAATGATGCAGGCTCACCTGAGGTAAGCACTAACTGGTATTCACCAGAGCTCCTGATGGTGGAGATGGGTTTTGCTGCGTGTTAGTACCAGGTCGCAGTTCTCAGGATCACCCCACCAGGAAGTGAGCAAGCCAGGATCCAGTAGCAGATATGGCAGGTAGGGATCTAGCAGAAGCGTAGTCAGTAAACAAGCCAAGGGTCGGTAACAAGCGGTAGCAGGTTGGGATGAGGCAGAATCGTAGTAAAGGAACAAGCAAATGGTTGGTAGCGAAGGTATGGATGGTAGCAGGAAAGACGAAGCGAGATACTGGCTGGAGAAGGCACAATCTGGTAACCAGGAAGTGCAGAGACATGGCTTAATCAGGAAGTTCATGGGAGGAGCAAGGAGTTCAAGGTTCATCAGAAAACAAGGCTCAAGGCAGGATTGTCCAATAGATCAGGCAGAGTTTGTCCAGCATCCCAGGTAGCTCAGTGAGAAGCGTTACTACCTGACACATTAGAGGTCCCAAGTTCAAGTCCAGGCCCTGACGTCTCCACCTCTGGGAGGGAGAATTCACACAGAGATTCCCAGTTAGGTGCTGATATCACACCTTCACAAACTGGCTGTTGTGCAGTGTACTGAAATGAGTGGCAAAACTCAGGATCACCACTCTTCTCAGTTTCAGAAATGGACACCTTTGGCAGAATAAAGCACACTTCATGAATAGTGAACCATTTTTAAAATGACTTTGGCAGGTCAAGTCAAATCTGGCTGGCGCATCTGTTGTGCAATTAGCCAAACTTGAACCCCATTGAAGTTTAGGGGACCAAAAATGGTAAATGATGTTATATCTCTTAGAATTCCCCACACTGTGTTTAGATTCCTGCAAAGCAGGGGATCTGTCATTTAGCGTTAGGAATGCATTAAGTAAAGATCAGCGAGTGGATGGTCATTATTATTTTCCATGGATTACATAATTTGATGATGTGATTGATGCTGGATTACAATGAAGCACATTAATAAAGCATTTTTTGTTGTTGCGTTTGTGTGTTTTCTTCCAATAAATGGACTTTGTCAAATGGTATGTGTGCCAATTTCAATTTAACTTTTTCTGTAAATGAATAAAAAGGGGTACAAATTAAACTTGTAATATTTTCCCTATGAAAGTATATATCTACAAGCTCTCAGATTCTGAGTCCTCCCTGCAAACTTCCACGTCCCTTTTGGGAAACAGGATGTTGCAATAAGGCCCTTATTTCCTCAATATGGGAACAAGGTGCTTTGCAAGGGGGGAGGGGGGGCTTATCTGCCTTATCTTCTTGTGCAAGGTACTCTTCTCATGTTGACAGGCAAGTGGCCTAGTATGGAACAGGAAGGCGGGATGCATGCTAATTGCCCCCTCTTTCCTGGCCACCCAGGCTGCTTTCCTGGATAAAGGCCTCCTTCAAATGGGAGTTAAACCACACACACCAGATTCCAGCAGCAAGAATCAACAGATTCTTGCATCTGTAATGACAGGTGCATGTGAATATTGGAGACCACTCAGCCTGCACAGAGTAATGACAAGCTGACCAGGCTTGGACATCCATTTCTACATTCAGGTGCACAAGTGGACACACAAAGCCCGTAACACCTGTTCACCCCCTACGGACCAGAGAAATTCTTTCAATTCTGCCATGGACCTGTTTATTCAGCAATAACTTCCTTTGGTGATATTGCAATGCAAAAAATGCATTTTTCCACACTCCTTTGACAATAAAACATAATAAAAATAAATTTCATGCACTTTTTTGTGACCAGTGTTAGTTTAAAAATAAACAATGTTACTGTAGATAAAATGAGTACATTTTATTCTGTAATTTGTCTTGTTTAAAATGTCACTAAAATTATGATTCTGGTGTAAATATTAATGGATAATAAAATAGAAATAAGCAAAGAAAACAAATCAGCAGGAAAATAATAGTTAAATTGAGAAAGAGAACAGAGAGTTATTTAGGGCTGATTATTGTACACTAAGGGTTAATAAGGCTTACACAGAGGAACATTTTTTTTTAAAAACACTTTTTTTTTTACTTGTCAGGTTGCTTTAACTGACATGAACTGTAGATCAAAGTTCACCCATTTCATCTGCATACAAATGAAACAAAATAGTGAAAAAAGTAACAATGTTACTTTGTATTTTCTATTTCCCACAGTGTTGTGCAGCTGCCAGGGCTGCTCTTTGAATGAAGCAACTCCAGATTTGAATAAGGTTCATTCACACTTGTGAGTGCACCCTGTTTCCGATTAGATGCAAGAACCCTAGCGAGGGGTTCCCATGATTATCTGTGGGAGGCAGCCCCATTGAAAACAAAGGGATGCTATTGGCTCCCACAGCTAATCATGGCCACTCGCATGTAATCATTCATGCAGCATACGCATGCGAGTGATTGGCCCTGGACACAGGCATTTGATCACTGCATGAGCAATTACAGGTGATTGGCCATAATTAGCTGCTGGAGCCAACAAGCCTCCCATTGTTTTCAATGGGGCTTCCCTAAGCAGATAAGAGCCGATAATTACTGGCAAGCATGAGGGGAGGGGGTGTCATGGCAGCAGAACAGAAGAACTAGATATGCTACACACATCCTGTGCACTATGATGAGGTTTTTTTTTGAGCATGTGTAGAATATCCAGTGTCTTAAGCTAGTTAATAAAAAAAAGTTAAAATACCTCTATCACCCTAATAATATACCCTAATATCACTAATATTCGGTTTAGTTTCTTTTTTTCCTGAAAATATGTGTTTGATAGATAGCTGTTCATATATTGAGTAAAGTAAATAATTGCTCCTGCCACAATTTTATTCTCCATGGTCTTTGCTTACAGAAAATGTAGTTGTTTGGGGTTTTGAAGCAATTTTTTAGCAAAAACTGCAGAAAATTTAAAAAAATTGCCACGTTGGAAAAGTGGTTAAAGGATTTGTGTTTTTTCAAATGTTGACCTTTCACCACTTCAAAAGACCATGTCCTCATGAATGGTCTTTGATAAATATTTGCTTGATATGTACATGTGCCCCATGGCAGTGCCCAGCTTCATCATGCACTTTTTGACAATAGCTTTCTTATTATTCTAGAAAAAGTCCATAACCAAACTACAACGTTCACCTATCATAGCAACTCAATAGGGTTCCCGATGGGTTCCAGGCAGGGGCGGACTGACCATTTGGGAACTCTGGCACTGCCCGAGGGCCCTGGGTCAGTAGGGGGCCCCATGAGATGCTCCTGGTACCTTTTCATAGGCTTTTTCGGGTGTGGTTTGATTGTGGGCGAGGACACAGGGGCCCCATGATCCCCTATTGCCCAGGGGCCCCATGAGTTGTCAGTCAGCTCCTAGTTCCAGGTTCAGTAAACGACAGACTGTGGGATGTCTGAGTGCAGCACACCCCAAAGCAGACTTAATAAATAAGAATGGCCAAGGAATATACCACATAAAACATACACTAAAGGAAAAACAAGCATTAAAATTAAAGTTTAGTTTATTGTAAGCCAAAGAAACAAAAACAAGGAATAACTTACCCTTGATGCTGGCTTATCATGCTATTTTCCTATACACAAGTTTGAATATCATGGGAATTATCAATATCTATAGCAGATCCTGACTTAGCAGAAAAGCTATTGTGTACCACCCACGCAAAGGAAATGGATGGGGAGGGTGCTTCTCTCCTTTCTAACAACCTCTAGCATAATAGAGTGCTTTTGTAGGTGCCATTAATTCCTTTCACTCACAATATATCCAGCATGGAGTGTTGCACGGGGCATCTAGGGGGCTTCCTCCAGGAACCACAAGCAATATCACATCTTCATCTGTGACATCAGTAGGTGTGTATCATGAAATCAGTGGGCCCGAGTGCAAGATCAAAAGTGGGCCCTAGGCAGTAATAAAGAAAAAATGTGGCGCGCAAAGCATGAGTGTGGTTTAAATTACGCTTAAAATTGGGCGTGGCTTAAAAGGGGTGTGGTGAAATAGTGTCTGAAATTACTTGCATGTGGAGTGTATGGCAGTGGGTAGTATGTACAGGGAGAGGAGTGCAGAATGTGGGTAGCATGTGCAGGATGGTGTCAGTAGGGCTGTGGATGGGTGTCAGTAGTTCTTTATTTTTATCATTATTATTTTTTTTTTTGTTAATTTTATAATTTTTTTTATAATTTAAAGTGTTATTATTTTTATCACCCCAATGGAGTGGGTGTCAGAATTTTTATATTTTTATTATTCAATGTTTTTATTATTTTTACAATTTATTTTTGTATTATTTTTTTCACAATTATTTTGTAGGGGCAGTGGACAGTGTCTGTAGGGAGTGAACAGGGAGCACTATTTTTTGGGCTGTCATTAGATTGGGATGAATAAACAAAACCTGTACCCCCATATATCATGTGTCCCTATCACAGTCCCCCTTACATCAGATGTCCATACATGGGCCCAACTACTACCATAGGCTGATGATACAAAACTAAATTTATTTGGCTGCACTCATGAATGCTATTGCTGGAGGACAAAATAGGAAAGAGGAGGAGAGGAGGGAGAAAGATTTTGGGGGAAGGAAGGAAGGAAGGAAAGAAATGAAGGAAGGAAAGGGAGAGGGAGGGAGGGAATAGATGGAGGAAGGGGGCAAGGGAGAAAGGGAGGGAATGGATGGAGGAAGGAAGAAAGGAAGGAAGGAAGCAAAGGGAGAAAAGTAAGAAAGAAAGAAAGAGAGAAAATGAATATGGATGGAGGAAGGAAGGAGGGAGGCACAGTGGGCCCCCAACCCATGGGGTCGTGTGCAGTGAACACCCTGCACCCATGGATGATACGCCACTGGACATCAGCTTCCAGACTGTGCTAACAGGAGGAATGGCAGGGGCGGACTGACCATTTGAAAACTCGGGCACTGCCCGAGGGCCGGGGTCAGTAGGGGGCCCCATGAGATGCCCCTGGTACCTTTTTCATAGGCTTTTTTGAGTTTGGGCAAGGACACAGGGCCCCCATGATCCCCTATTGCCCAGGGGCCCCATGAGTTGTCAGTCTGCCCCTGAAAAGGAGAGAATTAGAGCAAGATAAATATTGCTTGGCAAAAAGATTTGTGGATTAACTCAAAGTAGAATATGATTTACTTACAATCAATACATACCTGTAACAAACATAGCAATCTGTCCCCCCCCCCTTTACCAGACATCCAGTCCCTGTGCTCTGGCTTGCTTAAGCAGACACCTAGTGCGACTCTGGCTCCCTATCCTCACTCAGCTATCAGGATTCTTTCTTTTCCATGTTGTTTTGGATTATTGACAGATTTATTCAAACAATGATATTCAAGAGTATTTCCTACTTATGTTGATGAATTGATTTACTATGGACTAAGTGGATTACCACTTTCTTGGAGTGTCATATGTTGTATATTACATTACATGAGGGATAATAAATGGAATTTTATAAATATATTTGGCCATCTTGTAGCACTTTTTATATTCACGTTTTTTTCTTGTATTAGGTTACATGGAGTTTTGTAGTCAAAACCAGGATTTTTATCTTTGTGGAGTAAGGTAATTTAGAAAAAGCCTTGTTCTCTTTGGGATTGATTTATTAAGTTGGAGAATACAAAATATGGTGCAGCTCTGCATAGAAACCAATCAGAGTCCAGTTTTTTGTCAAATCTTAACTGAATAAGCTGAAAAAAGCTGTAACAGATTTTGCTCTCTCCAGTTTTAGTAAATCAACCCCTGTGAAAAGAATACAAGACATTTTCTGAATGAAGGACTTGAAGAGAGAACAACCTTCTTTCATCACTGTACAAACTGGCAGCTGAGCAAGAAGATCAAAGCAGACAGTGATATGCAGCATAACACAACACATTTTTTTAGCTTTACTAGCAACTTTTCGAATGTACTATACCAAGAAGCAGATCCACGACCCGAAATATAAGGGGTTACTATCAACCTCACCATCCCATCAACTGCCTGCCTCTTTTCCTCACACCATGAGGCTGTGCAGATGCTTAGTGGCTCCTGTGTATACGAACTTGGTCACAGTAATAAGACAGTGCAGACACAGCTGAGGCATCAGGACTCACAAAATGAACAACTAGAAAAAAGCATACAGGTGGTGCAAACACCTAGTGCATTATTCAAGGTTTATTTAAAAATGTATAAAAGGACAAAAAAACATACTCACAAACATAGCATGTATGTAAAGCCTGTAAGACCATGGAGATGGCCACAATGAATAGCAGAGTGTCCGACTGATGGTGAGGTCAGCCTGCTGACGTGTTTCGGTGACAAATCCCTTTCCTCAGAACTATGACCAGCCTGGATACAGGTCATGCTTTAAATGTCTGTGGCCAATACCACCTATGACTATCACAAAATTAACAACTTGAGGAAAGATCACAGGACCTAAAACCTAAAATAACAAAAACATAGCTTGTCTACACAAAGGCTTCCAGGAGAATATATAAAGAACTACAACAGTAAAAATATACAATTTCCCAAGCTAGCTGTCTGCCAGAGACCTGAACCCTTAGCTGTTTCGAGTAGAAAAAAAAAATTATATTGAACATGAGAGGGCAAGCAAAAATTAAAAAGAAACATATAAAAAAAAAAGGAAGGGAGGTAAAGGGGGGAGGGGGATGCAGCAGGGCGGAAGGGGGTCCAAACCCACAAGAAATAGGTAGGTCAATAGAAAATCATCATGCAAAAGTGCTTTAGGCGGGTCCCTTTTGGTCCTTTAGTTCCTGATAAGTGGAAGAGTAAAAAAAGATTGCCCACGGATACCACATATCATGAACCCTCTACTTCCTGTGATAGAAGGAACTTATGAGCCGTTATATGTGTGCAATGTTATTCATATTAGACAGCCATAAACAAATGGGAGTGACGTGTTGTTTCCATAAGGTTGAAATGCAGACCCTAGCAGTGTTTAGCAAATGTACCATAAGTGAGGATGTATAGCATGAGAGGAGTACACTATTTAGATGAAATAACTCATGGGGTGAGTCCCCAGGTCTACTGATGTAAGTTTAAGTACCAACTAACATACTTGAAAGTTATAGCAGGTTTTCCACATGATTGCCAACATCCCTAATATCAGATTCGCTTATGAAAAACACTCCCCCTGGGATTGTTTTTTTTTTTAGATCTTTATCTATTCCATTTAAAAAAATAAAGGCAATACTCCCAAGAGGTAGCTATTCAATTCCTACTCAACAGTGTTGATTGTAGTCCACACACAGTTTTTCTAACCTTATTAAAGTCCGCCTGCTGTTTACAAGTTTTTTCCTAAAAATGTATGCAAATACTGTCTATGCTAATGCAACTTGTACTCTGTTGTACTAAAGTACTGTTGTAAATCCATAACAATGGTTTTGGGAAAGCATAGCTTTCTCTTTTTTGTGGTATTGTGGTACCACAATAATGCATTCTTATTGAAAATGGGAACCTACAGTATAATAGGCCATCAGTGGGTGCTTTCTTCCTGCATGGTGTTTTGTTCCCTCTTCTGGTATTGGGATCTTCCTTGAATGCTCTATTTCCTGGGGACATGACTGAACCATCTATTGGAATACTCTGCTACACCATAGGTATGCTTCACCACACCAGAAGCAACATATGGTGTTGGACAAAAATCCCAGGATTCATCCAGTGTAAATAATCAGCTTTTCTGATACAAAACAGTTTAGATTTTGATTCTGGACATCCTGATCCACTTTCTGAATAACAACATGGCTATTCTTCTGTTTTTTAATACTCCCATACTCTATCAATGATTTTGGCTCCTCGTGTTTTCAGTTTTATGTTTGTTTCTTGCCATTCCTGACCTTCAAAATGATAAATCTATGCCCTTCTGACACTAACCATGGCCCTTCATTATGTTTCAAGCATAACTAAGAAAACTTACCACTAATATGAAAAGACATTTATTTGACAAATATACTGTATATCTTTTTATCACTATGCATATACCGTAGATAATTAAGACATATATTATTTTTCCAATTTTCTATTTCTTAAGCTTTTTCTATGACTGCATCTGTTTGCTGCCATCCATTACTTTGCCCGCACACAGAATATAATTTGTGTGCTATTACTATTTCTGAAAATACTAGGGCTGTAAAAAATTAACATCAAGTGCACCTAGAAATAAATAGGCTTCATGCATACTGGGGTTTTTAAACAGTTTTCTTCCAGCAGGAAAAAAAACAGTTTAAAAAACAGGCCTAAGCAACGATTTTTCAAACGCGTTTAAGTGCAGTAAGTGATTGGGCATTTATTTATATCAATGGTAAGAATGACTTGTAATAATTTATTCTGGCCATTAAAATAAAAAAAAATGCTCAAACGCTAAATGCACCTAGTCAGCTTTTGAGCTCAAG